CCAACATAAGACGATTCACAGTTTAAACAATTGATTTTATAGACTACTCCACAATGGTCATCCTTAGGCAAGGAATCCTTTCCCATCTTTATTCATTTTATTCATAGGTTTATAAGCTATATTAAAACCATGAACATGTGAAAGTTTTTTGAATTTTTCAGATACTTTGCCCAAGTATGGTATCGTGAAAAATTTTTTCTTAGAATCACATTCATTATTAATTTCTTTGCGATTTTGATCTAAATTAGTTCTATTTTCCAATGTTTTTATTCTATTTTTTATTGTTGAAAATATGAATTTTAAAGCATAACCATTACTTAAAAGTGTGTGAATTAATTCAGAGATGTTTTTTTCATGAAATTTAGGATGGGATAAAAGTAAAATTCTATCAAATTGCCCAATAATTACTCCCCTTTTATATACTAACGGATGATTCGAAAAATAGTTTAAATATCTCCCAGAATTGGTAGGTTTTTTATAAATATCAAAGATGATATTTTCTTCTTGTCTCATTAATTTAACATCTAGAAAATTTATGCCGTTTTCATCGCCAAAGTCAACAGTAAATTTAAGTCTTTCATGATATGAGTTAAACAATTCTAGAACTCCTTCAACCTTTTCTTTATGTACAGCTAACACAATGTCATCCACATAACATAAAATAAAAAGACGAAATAATATTATTTGTGGTAATAATTTCTTGTTCTAAATCTTGTAAAACTATGTTTGCCAATATATTTTAAAATTATAACCACGTTAGTTTTCAAAATGTATTTTAATCACACGAGCATTAACATGTGTAAATTAACGCAGTTTTTTGACTTTATCAAATTTAATTTTAGATTACATGTATGTTTGCTTTTGAAGAAATGTGTAAGAACTTACAGAGCGAATATATACACAAGAGTACAAAAACAATTCTTAAAAAAGGTGTTTAAAGGAACGTCTAATTCCTATGCATTTGTACAAATTCACACGAAAAGATAACAATAAATTGTTCCATTCTTCGAAAGAAAGAATTGACAGACTCAAACACAATTTTATCTTCAAATATTTGCATGTAGAATTACAAGATGCCTATAAACATCTTGGGCAAACAAAATCTGAATTGTTCAGCATATATAGAAAAATTGAAAAAATTCTACCTAACAACATGGCTCATTCTTTCTTTCGAAGACATGAAATTAACTTCGACATTATGTGGCGTAAAGAATAAAATAGAATTGCCAAAAAAATTTCTAATTTGCGGGCTAAATATATTCGCCAAGAAATATTGAATATCAAGAGTATTAACTATAATATTACGCAATTTGTGGACTCTGAGATGAATGGTGATACCTTTTGTGCATCTTTAAAATTAAAAACAGTTTCAACTAAAATTACGAATTCCAATACAATTCATTATAATATTAATATTACTCCTGATAGATTTAATGAAAAATTTGATATACGGAATACTAACGAACAACGGCTTAAAAATCTTAGTAATGCCAAAATTTTAGAAAAAGCCATAGTAGTATTACAATTAGGTCAATAGTTCAATTTTCCTAACAACATGGTTAGTAAGGACAGAATTACAAGTGAATTCATCAAACAGGTTGAACATAATCTTTTTAGAGCTGATAATGAAATACGTAAAAATGTTAGGAATGAAATTTGTTAGTCCAAATTCTTAAATCAATTAAGAATTGTAACATTAAATCTGCTGAAAATACAATTTTATATGAAGGTGTAAGGGAGGTTAAGCGATTCATCTCAGAGAATCCGAATATTTTAATTACTAGAACGGATAAAGGCAATACCACTGTAATTATGAGTCGAGATAGTTACAAGGAAAAAATGTATGAAATTCTCAATGATCAGACTACATACAATTTAATAAATAAAGATCCTACTAATAAAATAACTGTGGAAATTGGTAATTTACTAAAAAATTGGAATAATACAAGGGGTACATTGATTTAAATTTATAAAAAAAATTGTATGTCGGACGGCGAACTTCCGAGATCTTATGGACTGCCAAAAATTCATAAAGAAGGTCATCCTCTAAGATTAATTGTCAGTTGTATTAACAGTGCTTTTTATCCACTGGCGACCTTCTTAAAAGAAATTATTGACAATAATAATATAAAAAATTTTAGTTAAAAACAGTGTAAAAAACAGTTTAGATTTAGTAAATAAAACTCAATGGTAAAGTAATCGATAAAAATTTTAGTATTATATCATTTGACGTGGTCTCCATGTACACGAACATTCCGACTGAATTAGTATCAAAAAGCATTGAATATAGGTGGAATTTTATTGAGAATAAGACTTTGATTCCTTTACATGAGTTTATTAAAGCAGTTATGATTATAATTAATTCCACATTTTTTAGATTTCATAAAAAAATATTTAAACAGATT